AAAACAAAACCTTTTGGAATTAAATGGCCAATTGAAGCTATCAAAGCTCTGGGAGTCTACTACTCCTATGATCCAAAATTACTCCTAGAAAAAAAATTTTATTGAAAAACTTCACACCATAAAGAAACTCATAAATATTTGGAGCTCCAGAGGTCTCTCCCTGTTTGGAAAGGTGACTATAATGAAATCATTGATTATCCCAAAGTTTGTTCATGTATCCTCGCTGTTACCCACCCCCAAGGAAGTTATTAAACAATTAAATCAATTGTTATTTAAATTTCTCTGGAAAGGCGTTGATAAAGTGACGCGCTTGTCAGCAATAAACGAATACGAAAATGGTGGTTTAAAAATGATCGATTTTGAAACTATCGGGTTAAATCTTTAAGACTTACCTGGTAAAATTCATCATGCTTCGATCGTTGTTTACTTGACCTCACGTCAAGAAATTGCGTCGCGTTATGTCGAAAATTCCGAAAGTACTACGATTTCACACTAAATCTTCTATTAAACAATACTTTCTGAACACAATTTACATTATTTACCGGGCCATGGAATCGTTAAATTGTCGCTAGGTCCTGCTAGAAGTCCGAATGTTTGGTTTTCGATTAACGGCCACAGTACGTATATCCTTAGAGAATCGTAGTTTCGTTGACCCGAGAGCCTATTCTGTCATCTTTAAGACCTTGATATCCATTATTTTCCAAACAGAAGTTTCTATAGTATATTGTTACTTTATATTCTGAGTTCCACAAGGCCTAACTCGATTATAAAGGAACTTGAAAATTTTGAAGGTTAGCCGCGCCTACGCCATATTTTCAAATTTGATCATTTAGCGTGAATGCATAGAATGACGCCCTTCTAGTAGCCCCTAAAGCCATCAAAATATATGCGCAAACGACGGATTCTGATTGGTTTGTTGATCTCCTAACGATAGTGGAAGTTTGCGTATGATGCACGATCCTTCGCAGTAAATAGCGCTATTTATGCAATGGCGAAAATCAGACCTGAAAAATATTAGGCCTGTGCGGGATTCGAACCACTGACCTCTGCGATACTAGTGCAGTGCTCTACCAATTGAGCTAACAAGCCAACTGGGAGCAGGCCGTTAAGTTGATTCGTAATAATCGTGCATCATACGTATTTTAATACCGCAGTTTAAAATATATGAACTTCATATATTCATTGAATCAGAGGATGTTTGGTGGGGGAGGAGGGGGAAAAAAGTCTGCTTTGTAGGGAAGGTAGGGAGAAAAACGTTTTCGCGCGTGCCAATCGCGCGGTCCGGGCGGTTCACGTGTTAATGCGTACGTGTTAACATAAAATATTTCTACGATTAACCGCTTTTGGTTACAATTGGGTCATTCCATATAATAATATCTGCTCCCCCTCTATAAGAAACTAGTCTTTAAACAAAATTAGCCAACACAAGTCAATCAATTATGAATTAAGTCGTAGATACATACGGTCATAGACTGCCTATTTTTTATCTTTTGGTCGTATTTTTAGTGATTAAAATGTTTGTTTCACTTCTCAAGAGAGATTTTTTTTGCTATATATAGCTTTAAGAATCCACATCAGTGAGGTGACAAAGAGAATACTGGACGCTTTGGGAGGCTTTAAAGTCGAAACTCGAGGCGAGGTATTCCTGAAGGTGAGAACTGTAAAAAAAAGTTTAAAGAACATTTATTTAATCACTTTAACCAGAGTGTGGCGAGGGTCGCAAAACAGAGCGAGGCTCCAAATTAAGTGCGCCCAATATCCCACCCATCCCACCGCAGGGGAGGACATCCATCACACAGTAATCTCGTGTGTGGGAACTTAACGTCTCCTACCCCTAACCCTNGAGACTGGAGACTGTCTCTAAATCTATCTTACATTAACAGGGCTGAATAACGTCTGCGCATGTGCGAGACCTCTTGGCTCGCGCTGGTGCCAATGGCCTGGGCACCATAACAAACTTCGAAAAAATGGCGGCGTTTTTAAAAAGTTTCGTATAGCGCCCGGTTTTTGGTGAAAAGGTAGCGCAAAACTGAAAACGGTAGAAAGAAATCTTTACGCTAGTTCCCTCGTTCGTTGACCAGCACATACACTTTTTTACACTGAGGTTTAAAGGTTGTACACTTAATGAAAACAGCGCGTTACCACGATAAATTTATCGAAGACTAAGAAGATGACATCTTACGCGGTGTTTTGGATGTTATCGACGTCCATCCTATTGTTCTTTAGTTCCCATGCAAAGCCCAATGAGCGGACTTGCTGGTTTATCAAGCGAACACGAGCTGGAGAAACATGCCAAGGTCGATTGAGGCGGTTTGACAAGGCCATTGCTCGGTTTGTGGACGGAAATTTAAATTGCTGGGCTTGCTTTCGGCATTGGATTAGAGCAACTCGAGAAGCCAATGAATATTGCTCGTGTCCACTCTTGGAGCACTCCAAAGAGCTGTCGAAGAGAAAAGACCCGAGGCGGTTCTACCGTCTATTTGATCGGGTTGGAGCTAATGTCGCCACTTATCGGCCCGGAACCCGATGCTGCAACAAGTGTTCTGCAATTGCTGATACTGTTTTCTGCAATGAACCAAATTATGTTCCACCAGTACAAGTAAGTGCAGCGCTTATTTTTGCCTAATGTTGTTTAAGCAACATTGAGATAATTATAGATATAATTGCAAAAGCACTCAATAATTGATGCCCCTGAGAGTGAAATACCAGTCCCACACAATTCACACACACACACAAAATAGGCTGGAGCCATATTTTGTTTGTTTGTTTGTTTATTTGCCAATTTGGCCCACAAAAAAACCAGACTGCATACTTGCTACTTTGTTATCACAAAAAATCGTTCCAGAACTATACCAAAATATTTTATCATGTATCTGCTCCTTACTTTTCAGAGAAACACTCAGGCATCTACATCTTCTCCAACCAGTACTCAATCATCTGATGGCAGACAGGTACATGAACATAAAATAATAATTTATTAGAAGAATCAATTTCTAATTATAAAAATTGTCATAATAAATGACATGGTGATGTTTTGGTATGAATTTTCTTAGGAGAGTGCTTCACAAAGCATGGCCAGTCAACTTGACAAAGCACTGCAAAATAAGGAAATGACATCTTCAGGTAAACAACTTACCACAAACTTACTATTTCTGTAGCATAACATATGTAATTTTTTTGTGTAATGCATTTACTAATTAAAAGTAATTAACTCTGAGGAGGCACTGCAACAAGAGGACACATTCAGGTATGATAGTCACGTAAATCTAAAATAAAGTGATTCTCTGATTAAACACTCCCTCCACATCATCCTCCACTTCATTAATATTTAAAAAATAGTTATGAATCATTAGAAATGATTCTTCCATTCAAATAAGTGTTAACTCACATACAGTAGTGGAAAAGCTTTTAATAAACATTATATTATACATTATATTTTGTAGACCTTACCTTTGACCAGTTGGTCACTCAGTGCCAGACTGCTATGTTCAAATACTACGACAGCAGACCAGAAGTACCACTCTAAC